GAGGTTCACTCTAAAAATTACTGAAAACGACAAACTATCGGAACCAAAATCCGGGGACGGATCCGATTTATTTTAAATAGAAAATATAAGAACCAGATGGTGAAATACAAATGATAAGTACAGAAAACTGATCAAGATGATGCATAACACACTGGGATATTTACCCGAACGATATTATACAATAATGTTCCCGCTGGAACAACGCAACACACAATACGATATAACAAACGATACGGTAACGAAAATAAGCGGTACGATATTGACTCACGCACCCATGTGTTAGGGAGACGATTCCGCGAGACGTGGACTGGACGGTTAGACACAAAGCCGGAAAAATTGAAATAATGAAATGAGAGACCGATCTCCTGTTTGTCACCGGATTAGCTAACCTTGGACCCTTAGCGGTCAGGAAAGCGCAGGATGACGCGTAAGAGTACATCGAACAGAATAGATCGGTTGATCCCGTGAATTACAAAAATAGCCAGAATACCCCTGAGCGTCACTCACCGTTGTCCTACTATTATCGTTGTCCTACTTGCTCCTACTATTGCCAGGAACACACTCTCCTGGATTATAGTCTCTCAAACGGATCACGATACGATATAATAAATACAATAATCGGTAGAAAACAATAGCACGTCTATCCTTAACTTTGGCCACGCCGTGAGTGACGCTACAAATTTCCAAAATCGGGAACCATCCTGAGAGCGCGCTGTAATACCACCCCCTGGTCCAATCAGGTTCGCTGTTACATCGGCTCCGCTAGCCGCCTCGCGATCTTCAATTGTTTTAACGATCCCGGTACAATAGATCCTGGCATCTTGCTACGATAGGATGGCTGCAGTGCCGTTTCCGGAAGGCGGGAATCACGTCCACCTCTACTCCCTCGATATTCAGCGTCACGCCGCTTCTGCAACTCCTGTATGCCCTCTGCTTCTGAAGACGCTCGCCGCTTGCTGCGCGTAGTTGAGCCACCAGGTTGTGTGCTCCGGTCTTGACGTCACCTCTCCTCGACAGCGCTACGCCAGGCACGTAGTTGGCTCTCTCTCGGGCCCCGTCTCAATACCAATTGTGTAGAATCCTCTCGGATCCGCTCAGTAAACTCAAAAACAAACGAAAAGTTCCCCACAGGGAAATAAATACAAATTCTTAAAATAAAATCAGTCCAACGCCACGCGAAATGCTCCGCAACCCATCCAGCCCCACGACGTAGCCGAATTCGCCTATTTTTGTGACTGCATCAAAATGCCACGTCACAATATATTGTATATATATTATTGTTGTTATTATTATTATTCCTATTTTAATTTTAACGTTATACTTATTATTATTATTATGAATTGCTTACATATATACTCTACGCCTATTATTATTTACGTTATATATATATATTGTTATGCACTTAAGCGTTACTTAATTATTTACTAGGTTAGCATTGTTAGTACCACACGATAAGCAACCCTTTGCCAGCAAACATTGTACTAAGGCGTAGAAGCTCTTCATTATTTAGACGCAACAAAGAGCCAGTCGTCGAACTGTAGGCTCCGAGTGAGCATCGTCCACTCATAGAAAGGAAAATAGAACAAAATTTTGCTATTGTTAACGAAACAGAGATACAATAAAAAAATAGATTGCTTTTGCTATTTTAGTACTATTAAATGTGTTGAAGATTATTTTATAACATCCTCACGGCATAACAATATATATATTATCGTTATTATTATTATTATTCCTATTTTAATTTTTTATTATATTAATATACAGTCCATAATAAAAAAAAATTAACAAAACTATATCGTTACTTTATGTACTTAAATGTACAGACCACTCGGCTTTCATGAAACAGGTCTTAATACGTGTAACCTGATTTACACCGCGAATATTGCACCCTACCACCGCCACCACCGTAGATCTTATTATCTTGCGCATAACGACGATCCACCAAACGATTCTTTCGCACAAAAGCGTCGTAGTACTCTCGTGCGATTCTATCGTTTTTCCGCAAATCAGTACTAAACAAATTCTGGAAGGCATGCATCCCGAAGCCGGAAGAGAGGTAGTGTATAAACATCATGCAGAATTGGCCGCACACCGTTGACGTCTCGCTCTGAAGCTGCTGAGTGTTTCATCGGAAGGATCGACAGTTCCGTCGGAGTCTCGATGCGTGGTGATGATTCAGCGGTGGTAATCCGTAGCTGTCAAAGTAGTAGCCGTCTCCGTCAGCGTCCACGTACATTGCAACCCAATGTGCTCCTGGTTTCGTATGATCGTCCGTGTTGGCTATAATGCCAG